ATGTTTATTCAGAGAAAGTACGTTTTTGTGTCTGATTTCGTAACTTAATTAATAGTTAGCACTAATTAATTAGCATATTTGAGGTCACCCCCAGGAACCATTAAGATTGACACTTAGTTCGTGAAAATCGGATCATTAGAACGAAAGTTATTCAGGGTGATATCTTTTTTTTTTTGCGGACTGTACATGGTGAAAAAATCAAAACATAAGCTAAATGAGAAATATATTAGCAAAATAAATTATCAAATACTGCAGTTACTCACCTAAATTCAACTATATGTGTATAATAAATTAGTTAATGCTAGAAATTCGGAAAGTTTTAGAAAATTTTTTTATTATTTAAAAATATAAACTTTTTTTTTGTGAGGTAATAACCCTCAAAAAGTCTTTCATTTTCAAGAACACAAAAATTTGTTTTATCGCCAAATGAAATATTTTTTGGTGATCAGCATTATTGAAATCAATTTCTATATTAATTAACATTTGTGATAAAGTACATAACATTTTAGAACAAAATAAGGATGTTTTACATACAATAAATTAAAATGTATGGCTGTTAGCATTACCCGAGAAAGGAGGTCGACATGCTGCATTTCTAATCGGGGAGCTTTGATTTTGGCAGTTCCCCTTGCCTACTGCCAATAGAAGTTTCAATTAAATTTTTTCCAAATTTTTTTTTTCTGAAAATCTCTAACAAATTAACATTAAACATTTAGAATTTCTTTGAAAACACAATATAGATTATAGATTTGGCATCTTGGAGCAATTACTGAAAGGCTGTCAAATGACTTAACTCTTGACAGGCCAACATAAAGTTGTCCATGACTAAAAACTTGTTCAGTCAATACTAAACTGATTTTCTCAAAAGTCTGACCTTGTGACTTATTTATAGTCATGGAGGAGGCCAGCCTAATTAATTCCTAATTGAGTTTAAATTAAATATTATCATGTTTTTAGGGCATGAATCTGAATTGAACAACCTGATAATGCTCACTCTGGTTATTGTTTCCGTTTTTTAAAGCGCTATATGTTGAGCCAGTTTAAATTAAATACTATCATGCTTTTAGGGCATGAATCTGAATTGAACAGCCTGATAATGCTCACTCTGGTTATTGTTTCCGTTTTTAAAAGCGCTATATGTTAAGCCACCTGAGCTAGATTTGGCATGTGACATTTTTAGCAGCAATCATTGGTCGATTTTCTAACCTTGCCATTCGGGAAGTTGTAATGAGGTTTTTTTTTGGTGCCGTGTAAGAGAAATATATATATAGATAGAGAAACAAATATGATTTGGTAATGAAAGAGTTTTAAAATACTTACCCATCATAATTACAAATAGTGATTGAAGGTAATTCGGTCATTTTACTGTTAGTTATTTGTATATCAACAACAGTTTCATACTTCCAAAACAGTTTCAGGAATTCAGAAGATTGATAAGTATATCCCGCTAAACAAGACAGAAAGACCAATAAAAGAGCGTATTTCTTGATTTTACTCTCAGCCATAAGAATCTGTGGAACGCCACTCAGCATCGAATCCCGAAAAGCCTTCGTCAAATAATCTGACCAAGATTTGTTTTCTCCTTTTTTAACATTCCTAAAAGAAAATGGAGTCAAAAAATATATGATTGTTAACAACAAAAAGGTTTTAAGATCAAAAATATAATGAAGACAGAATTTTTTATAACAAAAAAATAATAATAAATGCTTTGTATTGCGAGAGTATGTGATATAAAGTCTCTGACAGTTAAATGTTTTTTTATGTACATTATATATCTATGTATTCTTTCTCTTATTGACGTTAAGAGTGTTTCTTAATGAACATGTAAATGCATGGGTTTAGAATTATTAAAAAAAAAAAACAAGTATTATATGTACGTTAGATTGATTGAATGTAGTGCTTAATAGCACAAAGTCCAAATAAGGACAGGCTGCATACGCACGTTATAAAGTTTAAATTGATGAGTAAAGACAGAGAAAAAACAATTGCTTTTCGAAAACTGCAAACAAATATCAAAAAGATCAAAAAACACCGTATCAGTTTCATAACTACTGTTCTTCAGTTTCATCATCAAGTAAACTGGTTTTAGATAATTTAAATATTTGACTTGCTTTCAATGGTCTCATCAGTGGCTACTGCAAACATGAAGCGATTTTGTTTTATTTCTTAAAAAATACATTATTTAGTGACTCATTATGTGCATACTTTAGCTGAGTTCGCACTTGATAGAATGTTCGGAAAGATATATTAAGGATTCCATTGCAGAATATCAGATGGGAAGATTGTTACTGATCTGCTGGACTGTTAGCACTGTGCTTTGTATATTAGTAGCTAGTAGGAATAATCATGAGCATTAATCTTAACAGGGATTATTTTGATATGCTGGCTGCCAATATAAAAACTCTTTGAGAATTGTCAAGTTTGGTAGTTTAACATAAATGGGATTTATTTCTTTGTTCTCAAAGTAATTTTTTTCCAGTTGAAGCAAGTAAAACTAAATTTTATCATTTGCGGAAAGAATTTCTTTTTTATAATTGTTACTTTTTTAATTATTTTATGTCTTAGAAAGGATAAGGAGGATTTCTCTTTCTTTCTCTTAGTAATGATATCAAAAAATAATATTTAAGAGAAATAGAACATAAAACGTTTGAACATGTTGATCAATACCTTTTGGTGGTATAAGATTTAATGCTTAAAAGAGTTCCAATAGTTACACTTTTATATTGCAATGCATTTTTACATTGCACAACACATGCTTTCAAATTATAACTAACCGATAACTTTCTGTTCCTTTCTATTTAATGAATTCCTGTAATAAAGGTTTTTACAATGTTGACCGATTCCTCTTAGTGTAGTACAAGATACTGCTTAAAATATTTATCTAACCCTATAGTCTACCTGATTTTCATGAAAATGTTTGTATAGAAGTCTTTAACAAACAATTTTGCAACTTTTGATGTCAATTTGTCAGAGGAATCGTTATTTTCGAAACACTAATCACCATATATCCGATACTAATGAATTGAACAATTTTTTAACTGTTTATCCAAAGGTAATATTTCTCGTAAAAATATTTTTATAACTACTTGTTTTCAGTTATTTAATTTTCCAATACTTAAAAAATTTTAAATTGCAGGGAATATAAAGTTTTTAATTATTTTAACGCACGAACTTTTTGAATGACAGAATCTAAAATTTGATCGAAATCGGCTGATTAGTTCTTAAGAAGTATAAATTTAAACATACGACCTTCAAAGATGATAAAATACGCAAAAAATTAAATTTTCCCCACTGAAATACGAACATTTCGAGGGTTCCAGCTCGAATCCGTACTATTAAGTACTCAAAATTTTCTTTAATCACAAAACCCTAGGAAAAACAACCAAACCAGTTTTAAGTGTTTTTAATGCTAAATTTTAAGTGCTAGTGTTAAGAGTTTAGTGCTAACATTTTAAGTGCTGCACGCTTATAGAGTATGAGTAAATTCTCCAGTACGCGAGTGCATTTTTGTTCCATGCTGTCAAAGTCTGTTATTTAGCTTCAAATGTTTTAAAAGCAATTCTTTCGGAAAGCATACTTCTCTTTTTACGGTAATCAAAACATCGTACTGCAGTAATTTATGAGAATGTGATTGTAAAAAGATTAATAGTGTAGCAAAAAAAAAATGAATAAAGCACAGACAAAGTATATAAACTGACATACTGTAGTTTCAGTTCCATAAAAAATAACCTTCATCAGCGTCTAGGAATCCGGAAGGTGGAGATGTAGAGACAAACATGTGTAAAGTGTTTTAACCAATGGGAACAAAAGAGCATGTTTGAAGAAGGTAATAATGCAGGGATAAGAAATAGGTGTGAGGGGATTAGGTGAGAACTGCAGGGTGCAACAGATTAAATTATAATGAACTTCCAAACATTGGGAAAAGGTTAGATACTCGAAAAATCCTTAACTAAATTATTAGAGTTCTTTAAAATATTCTAAAAAATTAAATTCGGAAGGTTAAGAACAGTGTTGAATGTTTTTTGTAGAAGAAAACTTTAATCTATAATTTGAATTCCAACTGTGATTTGATGAATTCCCTTGCAATCAATAGGATCAATAAATATCTTTTTATTTACACTGGAACGTATACTTTTCACTAATTTTATTTTTCTGCTATTGTCTGGGCTTCTTAAAACTCCCAAAAATTAATAGTAATTCAATTAGAATAAACACTTTCTGTAGAGAAAGTTTTAAACTATTGAAGTTTTTTTAAAACTTAAAACGGTTATTGACAAATAAAACTTTTTGAAAATGTATAATTATTGCTTCTGAGATTTATCAGTATAATTTTGTGGAGAATTCAAGTTTCAAGTCTGTAAATGAAACAAAATTCATTAAAAAACAAGCTTTCAACTTGATGGTTTGTTCATTGATTTTGTGAATGTTGCCTATTCGCCCCATTTTATTCCTTCAATAAAAAATAAATTTTTTTAAACATGGAACTTTTCGTGCATCTTAATAAGTGTAATGTAATCATATATCATAAATCATTTGATAAAAATTTATATGATTGGCCTAAAAAGGGTTAAGATAAGTGAGTTTATCAGCAGGGGAGAAAATGATTTCCAATGTATTCAAAATCTTAGCTATTCAGGAACTGGTATCCGGTTAATAAGGTAAAACAATCAAAATGTTTAAGCTCAATTCGGAGGGCTTGGTAGATTGCGAGATTATAGGTGAAATCAAAAATATTAAAAAGACAGTCTGCAGCGTTATTTTAAGGTAAAGCATTTTATTTGACTCTGAGGAAGGTTCCTGTTTAGTGGACACATAAGTATCAATTTATGTGCATTTATTCACAATGCACAAATTATTATCCTCTCCTTTTTTTGAATTTAATAGCTTTTTAAAATCTTTGATTTTTATTAACTTAAAAGACTTACTTGTTCCTATTTTTATGATTTATACTGAGTACTCTGGTCTTTTTTATAGTAAAGTTTCGAAAAGGAAATTTCAGCAAAGCAAACGTCGTACTCAAGAAATCGAAAACTGCAACTAATGATATACCCAGCCACATTCCGACGTAGCCTCCAATGTTACCAAAATGTTCAACGCTCTAAAATAAAACACAACTATTGATAATTATACCTTTATAACAGATTAATACTTAAATCGTTACTTATAAAGAAATGCAGATAGCACTAAATAATATTCTGATGATAAACATGAAAAATAGTAATTTTGAAAATTTGTCAGATAGAAAGCTATAAGGGCAAATTGGAGACCAGTGATTCAGCATAGAAATACAGTGAATTCGCGATAACTCGAATCTGATAGGACTGACGAAAAACTTCGACATATCGGAAGTTCGACTTACCGTTAGTTTCGGTTTTGGACTTTCAAAATATTGTCGGATTATTTAATTAATGCTTATTAATCATTTTTCTGACAAGCCATTTACGATAAGACTGTTTGAAGCACTTTATGATACCCTGGTCCATCGGCTGCAACTTTGCTGTTGTGTTTGGCGGGAGAAACTGCAAATTTACTGCTTTCAAATTAGGTAAATCACTATGTGTTGTGCATTTATCTATAAAGAGTATCACTTTTTTTTTAGCGAAGAATTTCCGATCCAATTTTCTTACATAGTCTTCAAATAAAACTGATGTCATCCAAAACTTTTTGCTAGGCTTGTAATCCAAAGGATACGTTATTACATTCCTGAAACATCGGGGATTTCGGTTTTTTCCGATAAACAAGTAAGGGCAATTTCTCTGTCCCAGACGCATTTCCTCCAACTAGGACAGTCAAACGTTCCTTGCTCATTTTACCCCCTGAGCAGTTTTCATCCTTAAACATCATAGTCTTATTCGGAAGACATTTAAAAAATAAACCCATTTCATCAATATTGAAAACATTATTTTAACTGTATCCTTGAAGTAAATTTGGTAACGTTTCATTTAACCACTGCACATTCTTCAAGAGGGACAGCTTTTACTTCTCCATGAAGAGTGCGAAAGACATTGTGTGTGTGCTGCAAGGGGCAAGATATCAGCTCCTAGGTTTTTTTTCTTGCTTTAAAACATCAACAAAAAAAAATCGAGTTAGAGGGAGTAAAATTCGAGTAATCGAGAATAATTAACATGAAATTGAAGATAAAAGGGTCGGGACCTCATAAAAAAATCGAGTTATAGTAATATTCGAGTTATCGTACTTCGAGTTATNCTGAATGGTACACGACCATTTGTTTGCCAGAAGTCATCGGAGAAATTCGAAAAAAGCAGAAGAACAGGCGAATCATTCTTCATCATGACAACGCGAGCTCTCACACATCGACTCAAACAAAGGCATTTCTGACGGAACGAAAGAGCGAACTGATGGGTCATCCGCCGTACAGCCCTGATTTGGCACCCAATGACTTCTACTTATTCCCACACATCAAAAATAAATTTCGTGGACAACGATTTCCGGCCCCCGAAGAAGCGGTTGATTCATTCAAAACGCATGTTTTGGAGTTACCTCAATCGGACTGGAGAGAGCGCTTTGAAAATTGGTTCAAACGCATGCAAAAGTGCATTGATCATCATGGAGAATATTTTGAAAAACGATAAAACCAATTTCGATCTTACATGTTTGTTTTTTGATTATTAGGCCAGAAATATAAATAGCAACCCTCGTATAACATTTTTGATTATATTTAAAATTAGAAATTTTCATTAACGTTATTAAATTTTTTTCAAGAAAGTGACCAAAAATGATATAGCACATCGAGAACGCAATATTCTCCGATTTCGAAATAAAATTTCCTAAAAATTAAAAATGATTATGAAATATTCATGTAAAAACTCACTTCAAATTCAGGACTAGAGTTATATGTAGTTATTTCCAAGTTGCTCAGGTCAATAGAAATATCAATCCATAGTGAAAGTCTTAAAAATAAAAAAATTAATAAAACTCAAGATAGTTAAATATAAGAATCTATTATTTAATCTTCTTAAGTAATATACATTTTAAAAAAAAATCGAGTAAGAAATTAATCTTTTATTAATAAAGGCACTTTAGAACTCTAGCCAATTGCTATTAATATCTATCTATCTATATATATAAAAATGAATGTTTGTGTGTATGTCCTTATTAGTATGTCGTATACCATGCAACCGAAAGCTATGAAACTTGGCATGCAGATAGTTCAAAGCACGAGGAAGATCACTGTCGACATTAGAACATTCTACGACAAATCGTTCTAGCAGGATGATGGTAAAACTAAGTGGAGTTTTTTAATTGGTTAAGCGTTAGCCATTGCTTTAAATTTAACGAATCAATTTTCACATATTTTAAAGATACACCAGTGATAATTGCTAGCTTATAGCTCTGTTTGAACAAAAATAGTTTATTGCACGTATTAAATATTTAATTAGTTTATATTCGTTATGTCAGACAAATTTATTGAACATTAAGTGGTAACTCGCGTGGTTTACGTCATCAAATTTTTACTTTGTCTGATACCACGAGCTCTTATTTTATTCGTATTAGTTCTTTTAAAAGTGTTTTTAAGAATTACTTATTTAAAAGCAACGGTAATGGAATAGAAAAAAATACTTATTTATTCAAAAGCAAAAATTAATGGGAAAGTGGTACTAATTTATTTTTTCCCCATGTAACGCAAATGTGGGTTTGTTACATCAAAATGTCTTCCACGAACGCAAATTTCTCTCAATACTTGATCCAGAAGATCCTTTGTCTTTTGGATTGGGTTCAAAATTACAACAATAAACATTGGTAGTCGTAAACCCAAAATGGAGACGGTTATAAAATTAAATATAATTGAACTGGAGCAGTGGGGGCTCAGGAGATAGCGCGTTCGTTTTCCTAATGAGGTGAACCAGGTTTTAACCCCACCGATGACTGGCCGATACTAATTCAGCACACTGACCACAGTGCTGATGTAAAATATCATCAGTGGTAGATGGATCATGGGTTAGAGACTCTTTGCCATCAGGCTAACCGTGGGTGGTTTGCGTGGTTTCCCGCTCCATGTAACGTAAATGCGGGTAAATTCCTTCAAAAAGTACTCTAATAAGGTAAATATTTTCAAAAAGTGTTCCAATAAGGAATTTGTTTCAATCCGTAATTTAAAGTCAAGGAGCCTTTAATAAAAAGAAAGTAATAAGATTACATTAAGAAAAACAAATTAGAATAAAAAAAGTGGAAATTATTTTAAGGTTTTTATAAGTTTGGTAAATGTTTTTTCGTTTTGCACACAATCGTTTAGTGCTTATTAAATATATTCATCCCAGTTACATGATTTTATTTATACCGTACAAGGAATGGTAAGAACGGTAATAACGGGAAAGGAAAAGTTTTATTATGAAATTTGATCCAGGTAAAAGGACGCCATGTACCAGTCACCGTTAAAACGTAAATTACGCTTTTTAAAAGAAAATAAACTCTATTGATTTTAAATTATCGATTTTATACAGAATGTTTCTTAATCACTGGTATTTTTAAATATTATCTTTAGATTTCACGTCAGAAGTAAAGTTTAAAAAATATATACAATGGTGTTTTCAAAAATATATAAAAATCATGAAATATATCAAAATATATTTGGTTGTTGGGTAATTTATCATAATAGGAAACTACGTCTGAATTTCAGCATTTATGTAATATAGTGGTGATTACGAATTAACTTATAATATTAAAAACATATAAGATCCCTAAATAAGAAATAATATGAAAAAAAAGTCTGTCCTCTTACTCATTAATTTCTTCTTCATCACTACATCTCCCCTAAAAAAATGAAAGCAAAAATTATAAGCAGGAAATATTTTAAAGTGGTTTCAAGAAAATTAAAAGAATAAACATAAAATGTAATCTTGTACATAAAAAAGACAAAGTTTTCACTCCTACTTCTCTTGTAGTTAGAAAGCTAAATATAGTCCTCACTCTTAATTATTGTTGTTGTTACTAATGTGACTTGTCAATATCAGCACACCTGATATGAAGAACCAAGCGAATTTAANAGACAAAGTTTTCACTCCTACTTCTCTTGTAGTTAGAAAGCTAAATATAGTCCTCACTCTTAATTATTGTTGTTGTTACTAATGCCACTTGTCAATATCAGCACACCTGATATGGAGAACCAAGCGAATATAAAGGTAGGGGAGGGGGGGAGGTCTTTTCTTCAGTGGTGTTATTTATGTCAAAAAATACGACTTCATCAACAGACACAGCCCGTTTCACAGGATAGGCCAATTCATTCATAAACCGATAATAATCTTGACATTAGCTAACGAACGATCGATCTCAAATTTCCTTGGTGCCCTTTTAGAGGTATTTATTTGTTGCGAAAACTTAGAGGATTTTGTGACTCCGACAGATTTAACATGTACCAGTCACTATTTAATACAAGGGAATGCTTCGGAAGGAGGGATTCGAACATGCGATCTCATGAACGCGAGCCTCAAACAGGCTTCCCCGACCTAACAGGTGGATAGTTTTTTAACTTTGGATATTGTTTCTCTTTTATTTTTCTAATCATGTGCATAAAATTTGCAATAAAGTAAGTGTTTCATATGTCCGTAGGCATCGGCTAGGGTATAAAATTTTACCCCTTCATCATGCCGCATAGAGGCTACTGGCTATCAAAAGAAGGCAAGAACCCATTTATTGTCATTTGTAGTGAGATTTGTTGGAGCAAGTCACTTTCTCCTGCAAGACAATGCATCAATTCTCATTGAGAAATCTTCAAAGTGAAGGTTTTTTGTATAATACGATGTTTGTCATGAATATCATGCCTACACCTGAATCTCAGTTCCCCAAAGAAACCTATTCTCCCGAAGTCGAAATTTTTGATGGTTTTCCATTCATAGACCAACATAATCTTGCTGGCAACCATCAATAATTCCATCATGAACCATTACATGTTTGATGGTAACTAACATAAGTAACCATCACGCCAATATAGAAATTCCGACAGATTTGTGATGGTCGAACACAAGAATAGTAACTTGTTTCGATAGTTTGTCATGTTAAACAATCAGAAATTTCCAACATAGTTTCTTGCAAATCAAATGTTGGAACGAACATGAACAACCATCATGCCAATGTAGGAATTCGGACGGATTTATGGTAGGTCAGTATACAAAAAAATTGTTTCAATGGTATATTCTCGAGAACCAACAAGAATTCGCATTAAACCATCATGGAAATGTATAGCTGGAACCATCCTGGAGCATCATGGATCATCGAGGATTGTTGGTCCATGAAGATCAAATTTCTCCTGATGGTTAACCATCATAGTATTAAAGTACAATTTTCTGTCATGGAATGATGGAAGTTTGCTGGCATATCAGAAACCATGAACACGCAATAAAAATTGTCGAATGATGGTGACCATCAAATGATATTGGACCATCACGAGTAATATTGAAAGTGACATAAACCATCATATTGATTATGCAGTACCACCAAGAATCTTGACTTGCTTGATCAAGAATTTTGAAACTTAACCAAATATCCAAAAAGAGCAGTGAAAGGAAGTCAGTCCTTGGACAACTTGAGATGATATTAATTTTTCTCTTGAAGGCTTAGAAAATGTTTCGCAACATTGTTTGTTTCAGGTCGTGCATGGTCGATATATTGGCATAAGTGATTTTATTACGACATTAGACACTTTCCCCTCTCTTTATTACTCATGCTATTTTTTTTCTTGGCAAGGACACGCAGGAGATGAGTTACTGTAAATGTTTGTTTCGATATAGACTCTCTTAATATTGATGTTTGTTTCTTATTGATTTTCTTCACGTCCAGATATGGCACAAAATCAAAATTGCTTTTCTTTCATGGCACATTAGTAATCAGTGACCCTACAAACTTATTAAAAGCTTTATAGTATCAAAACTCTTAGACTTTTATTCAGTTTTTTTATTCAGACTATTGTCCAGTTGTCTCCAGCAACAATAAGTTTTATCAAAATATGATTTCAAATAACATAATATTTTAGAGTACTTTTAAGAAAAATGTTTGTTCATACTTACTTCACGAATTTCAGAAATATCCCTAGAAACTTCGTAGAAGACGTCACTACAATAATTTAAAAAAATAATACATATTTATTTCTTTGTTGAATAATCCTTTAAATGTAAGTTACATTATTATCGCTCTTTTTTTATCTATATGTACAGTGAACAAATAAAAAAGATATCACTCTGAACAATTTTCATTCTAATGATCGTATTTTCACATACTAAAGTTCAATCTTCTGGTTTCTGTGGGCTAAACGTAAAAGTGCGGATAAACGTAGCTTCAATATTGTAACTATAAAGTTATTTTTTACTTTAAAAATAAAAATTTTGAACGAGATATTTTGAGTTAAGGAAATTGAATATCTTTTCTTATAAGGTTTGTAACCACAATTTCAGTATTTTAAAGACCTTACGAACTCTGTTTAGAAAGAGAGTATCGAGTCCAGGAGCGTACGCAAGGGGGGGGATGTTTAGGGGTTTAAACACCCCCCTTGAGCTCAGACAAAGTGAATTTACAAAATAATACAGACAGATATAGAAATTTCAATAGAAATTATGCTGGCTATTATTTTTTAAGACTATATATTTTTATTTGCCTTATGCCTACTTTTTTTCTCACGGTATTTCTCAGAATACTGAAAAAACATTTACTATAATAGGGTTGTACTTTTGAAATCAAATTAACGTGATACTGTTACGGGCGAACTCCGATTGCTGGTTCCTGTCTGTCCTGCCAGTGCCTGATAGTGGAATGCCAGCCAGTCGCGAGACTGGCTGGCATTCTCGAGGTCTGGAATCCTAGACGTTCTGTTGTCTTTGAGACAATTCGAGAATTTTGTAGATGCGGTAAAAAATATATGAAGGAGGGAACGGAGTACAGTGGTGTTAGTTAGTCAGACTAAGAGTTATCTCTGCCACTTGTCTTTCGGAGCTTGTTTCTAAATCTGTTTTGTTTTGGAGACACTGTGCCCGTTGAAGTTATTCATTCCAGCTCGAAACTTTGAGTTCGTAGCATAGCGGATATTTCTGTGCCAATATATATGTATATATTTTTGCTGTTCTTGGATCTTTATGATGTCAAAACGCAAGAATTTAACAATTTTAAATTACTTTGAGAAAAAATCCCGACCTGAAATTAGTGAGGTGACAGCATCTAGTACCAATGTAAGTTTTTCTGTTCAACAGAAATGTGATACTTCCGTTGAAGAAAACGTTTCTAGCATAACAGAATCTGATGAATGTGAAAGCGGCCCTCAAAGTCAGTGGCGTAGCGAGGGGGGAGCAAGGGGGGGCATCATGCCCCGGGCGCTACTCACAAAGGGGCGCCAAATGGTCAGCAAAACAAAAAAAATTGTTGATAATTTTTATTTTTATTATAATTTATTTCTGCAAAATATATTTTAAATTTGGTGCCAGTGAAATATAATAAATGTTAATTCGTAAATAAAAAGGAACACTAATCAAACTGTAATAATATATTCATAATAGAAATGACACTTTCTTTTCTAATGGCTGGGCTGACTCGACCTGTGTCTGTCAGCACTTCCTTATGGCATCTANAATTTTGTGTACTTTTCGCCCCAAGTGGTGCTGGTTCTGGAAAGCAACCTTTAGGCCAACTGTGCTATGTAAAATTTGACAACTGGAAAAATGCTGTAGAGCGATTTTATGAACACGAGAAATGTCTTTATCACAAAAAATCAATCAAAACTGCTGGGACATTAAACGATATTTTACTTGGAAAGATAAAACCTGTGGATGAACAAGTTGAACGTGCAGCAAGCAGAACAAAATTAGAAAATAGAAAAAAACATTACTCCAATCATTGAGACCATCCTATTTTGTGGAAATCAAGGTCTCGCTCTAAGACGACATAAGGATTCGGGAATAATTGCTGAACAACCAGGTGAAGAGAACGACGGAAATTTTCGGGCATTGCTTCGTTTCCGGAGTAAGAACGATTCGACTCTTAAGAACATTTTAGAGTCAAGCAGAAAAAATGCTCAGTATACCAGCCCTCGATTTCAGAATGAAGTTATGGAGGTTTGCAATATTTTAATCTTACAAAAACTAGTCAGCAAGATTAATGATGCAACTTGCTTTTCCATTCTTGCAGATGAAGCAACTGATATTGCAGGTATAGAGCAATTATCGTTATGCGTTCGATATGTCGATAAAGAAAATTTTAACATCACCGGACAGTTTTTGCCATTCATTCCGGTGCATGACTTAACCGGAAAAGCAATAGCAACAACAATATTAGACCAATTACAGTCTATGAAGGTTGATATAAAAAAGTTACGTGGACAGGGGTACGATGGTGCTGCATCAATGAGTGGAAAAATTAATGGTGTACAAGCCCACGTAAGAAGTATTGTCCCATCAGCACTCTATGTACATTGCTCTGCTCATAGCCTTAATTTGGCTGTATCAAATGCATGCGAAATAACTGGCATTAGAAATTGCTTAGGGACAATTAAAACATTATACGACTTTTTAAATACGCCAAAAAGACAGTATGTCCTATCTTCAGCAATAGAGGAGATGGAAACCAGTTCTAAGAGGGAGAAAATTAAACAGCTATGTGCAACCCGTTGGATGGAAAGATCAGTAACCGCAGTGGTGGAACTTTTCGAGTCTATTGCCGAAACACTACAAAAAATATCAGAATGGAAGGCTACCCAGGCTAATTCTTTACTGTGCACAGTATCTAATTCGTAATATCTCTTTTGGGCATTTACAAAGTTTTCACCATAACAATCCATCTCTGTAGATACCTACAAAAAACAAGCATAGATTTGATAGAGGCAGTGAGTCTTGCAGAAGATGTCATTAAAGATCTAAAATTAATGTGTGAAAATGCCACTGAAACATCCTTTGAAATATTTAACTGTTCTTCTCTTATGCTAACAAGCATTGGATCTTCCACTTCCATGTAAATCTCTAGAATAAATATTACTGTATAAATCAATAAATTTTTAGCGTGTTTGTATACTGGTTTAATTCCCTATTTGTTGGTAAGTTATTTTTTGGTTAAATTCATTGGTTTTATATGGATTATTCCCATTTATACGGTTATTATTTAGGTAGCTGTTACAGTATGTGTAGTTTTTTCTCGCTTGATTTATTCCTACTTTTTAATAAAAATTAAATATTTTACCTCTTATTTTTAAAAAAAATATATTCTTAAACTTAAAAAATAAAAACAAAATTTAACTAAACAATGCTGTCTAAATAAAAAGTCAAAATTGTCTAGCTGTCTAAATTAGGGAAATAATAGTGCTTTATTACATACTCGAATTTCTTTTAGTAATTTCTGAAAATTATGAACCCCCGCTTGAAAACATTCTGCGTACGCCACTGATCGAATCAGATGTATGTAGAAAATAAATATGACAAAAGTAACTGATAGTAATTGAATAGTATGTAGAGTGCCCTTTTATGGTATTAAATAAGTTTCCGTATGTATCGAAGTATCAGAATGCTATTTGCAAATCATCTTTATCTAAAAAAAACCAAGTAACCTAAATATTTGGCAGATTGAGGCAATTTTTTGAAAAAAGAATTCTACTATAGACAACATATTAATTCAGCATATTTTTTAAACATTACATAGCTCCATGTTTTTTAAATGCTACTTAACATTCAGCAATTCTATCAGTTCTAGAAAAAGAAATTTTGCAAATTATATGAAACCTTGTGAATGTGCACTAGAATTATTATACAATCTATAATTCTTTAGGTACTTTATTTTTTGTTTCTCTAAATTTTCTTACCTAGAAGACTTGGAAAACTATAAAAGATGTAAAAATGATTTGATTAAAAATGATCCCTAAAATTTTGTATATAGTTAAAATGAATTAAAAATGGTGTATCAGGAAGGAATGGAAATGGCGGAATGATATTTTTTGGGCACATGCATTATAGCACAAGTGACTAAATTTTCAGATATTTGAATGTATAGATTTTGAGAAATCAGTACTCAAATCATCCTCTGGCAGCAATAACAGTAGTTATTCTGCTAGAAATCGAGTCTGACAGAGATTGCATAGCATGGACGGGTACAACATTTCATACAGCTTCAACATTGTGCCACAATTCATCAACCGTAGTGACTGACGAGTTGTGGCGTGCCAGTACTTCGGCAACCATTGACCAGACGTTTTCAATTGGTGAGAGATCAGGGGAACGTGCTGGCCGGGGCAACAGGCGAACATGTTTTGTGTCAAGGAAGATCAGTGCAGGGCGGGCAACATGTGGTCGGGCACTTTCCTGCTTTAACGTAGCGTTATGGAAGCCTCGAAGATTAGGCATAGCAACTGGCCTTAACATATCAGAAATGTAACGGCTGCTGTTCAAAGTGCCGTCAGTGCGAGCAAGAGGTGAACGAGATGTGCATCCCATGGCCCCTCATACCATTATTCTAGATCAGTGTTTCTTAACCTTTTTGGTATAATGGACCCTTTTTCAAATTTTTTAAGAAGTCACAGACCACCCCCTGTAAAAAAAATTAGTGCAAAAACCATCAATTATTTTTATTTTACTTTATTTTTAATTGAAATAAAATTCGAAGGCTGCTTTGTGTTTTTAAAAATGTTAAACTTTTATATGGTTTGCGAATGTGGCTCCTCATATTGTGGAGGATATCTGGCATATCTAAGAGAAAAGAGCAAAGGGACGGTTTATAAAAAATGAGGGGTTGATAGAGGATTATAAAAATAGCAAATCGGATGTAATCAGGGGATTGCCCCGGAGGGTTCAAACGGAAAGCCGGTTGGTGCAGAATGTTAAAAATATAACAGGGATATTAGAGGGTCCGCACTGAATTTGGGGTATCTCAATCACCTAGTCTCAAATATGTATGTATTTTCATCTTTTAGAAAAAAAAGATCAGTGTTATTTAAATATTATTAATCCCATCGTCTTAAAAGTAGTCGGCGTACCCCCAAAATATGACTCATGGACCCCTAAGGGGTCCAGGAACCACAGGCTAAGAAACCCTGCTCTAGATGATGGGACAGTATGACGATGTCGAACGCAAGCTGCCAATGGGCGTTCTCCTCGATGTCGCCAAACACTTTTGCGGCCATCATTATGCTGTATGCAGAACCTGGATTCTTCTGAAAAGACGACGTCATGCCATTCCTGCGTCCAGATTCGTTGTTGATCATATCATTGGAGGAGAAACTGTCTGTGATGCAGCTTCAAAGGCAGCCGAAGACATGGTCGCCGTGCTGATAGTTCATGCTGTTGCAAACGTCGCCGAACTGTTCGTGCAGACACTTATTGTCTTGCAAATGACCCAATTTGTTGATTCAGGGTTCGTGACGTAGCTGCATGATCCTTTAAGACTATGTGGATAACGTGTCTGTCTTCTCGATTGTTAGTGATGGGGAGCCACTGAGATCTTGCACGGTGTTCCCTATGACCGTCATGAACCCATCTATTCCACATTTTGCTAACAGTCATAGGATTTTGAGCAACGCGAGCAGTAATACTTCGGTATGATAAACCGCAATCCCGGTAGGTCACCATTCGACCTCGATCAAACTCAGACACGTGCTCAGACACATTTCTTCTTCTTACAAGAGGCACAGCAAAAAATTTTTTACCTAAGAATAACACTCAAATTCAATTTCTGTATGAGAAACTTACTGTCAAATCTTTTCTTTTATATACATTGTAGGGCACATCGCAAACGCCGTCTGCTTTGCATGTATGCGCTGATAAGCTAATAATTTGCATGCCACAACATGCTTTATCCATCCTGCAAATTTCATGAACATGGTGTGTAGGCTTCCTGGTGTAGCAAGTTTAATGGCCAGTAGTCTTAGTTATGTAAGTTTGATTTTGGTTGAAATCCTCGTATAAATGAAGTAAAACAACGTAAAAAACCCTAATAGTATCAGAAAATTTTTTTTATTCAAATTTTAAAAGTTTAGCAAATCATCAATAATTTATATATCAATTCAAATTTGCTTTTCAAAGGAGAGTAAGAAAAATCTTTGCTTTTTAAGAATTTTTTTTATTATCTAGAAACCTTGAGATACTTTTCCTTTAACTATTAATAAATATACATCTCCGAGCAATTACGGAACACTTTCATTTTTTTTTATTCTCTGAACTTAGCAACGATATAAAATCAGGTATTGCTCTTTTGAATTAGCCTATAGGTTATCTGAAATTATTCATTTACAGTTCAGACAGTTATGGGAATATCGAGAATATTAGCTTCTTAGTCCCCCAATTAATGATCCTATCTTTTTAAAATTTTGCTTAACCCCCTCTGTTTTGAAGGTCAGGAATCCATATATGATCAATAAATT